TGGACTTGGTCGATATAAAACATCTGTACTTGTACGAATATCGGATGGAAGATTGCCTTCATCATGATTAGTTAATAATGGTTTTTCCATTTGTAATAATAAGAAACGTGATGTTGAACCAACAACTGATGATAATGATGAACCTTTAACTACTTCGATTGGTTTAACTAATTAGAAATTTATGTGAATTTATAGAATTTAAAAGAAAGTGTATCCTTACGCTTCTTTTGTCGACGTAGTGTATGAGAATTCGTTGAATGAAATGTAAAATTCGGTGGTAAAGATAATTGTTTTGTCAATGGAAAATATTGAGTTGTACTGTCACTTAGAAACTACAATATAAGTTTAAAAAAAACAACATTTTACTATGAAAACTTCGAATAATGATTATTAAGTATATTGACTATCTATAAATGAAGTAACTTACATCTAGATCTTTATCATCAATTAATGGTTGTTCAAAATAATTTCTATCATGTGCATCAGCTTCTAATTGTCTTTCAATTTCTTCATCAATTTCTTGATCATCAGCCATCATACGATTTGATTCCTTTTAAAAACAAATAAAAAATAAATGAAATGAATTAAATTCTTTTTTCTTTTTAATATTCACATCAAGTTTTTTCATTAATACAGCAACAACTACATTGACAAGAACAAATTGAGCCATGAGAACAAAAATAACAAAATAAACTGGAGCTATGGCTGTTACAAATTGATTTTTAACACCACTGGGTGAATCATCTTGACGTAAAGCATCCTATTAAATAAAATTTTCATTAGAAAAATAATCAATAAAAATTTTCTTTGTCTATTGAATAACATACTTTCATAATTCCATTCCAATTATCACCTGTTGCAATTCGAAATAATGTTAAAAATGCCATACCAAAATCTTTAAAATGTGCATGTTTATCAAGACCCATACATGGACGTTCCTCACTACATTCTAATTTTCCAAATAATTCAACACCAAGTGCAGCAAATATGAAGAAAAGAAGAAAGAATAATAGGCCCTAAATACAAATTTTTAATATTCAAACAAACTACAAGAAATTATGTATAGTAACTTACCAAATTTCCTACTTGTGGAAGAGCTTGAATAACAGTATCCAATAAAGCTCGGATACCTTTTGCCATTTTTAATAATTTAAGAACTAGAATTAAATAATAGCAAGATTTAATTTTATTATCGAACTATCAAATTTAGTATAAATAACATTATTGCAAATAGATCACTTTTTACAAAAACGATTCTTGACTAGATCTTAATCAAAGAACTGATGAATTATAGTAACTTCAGACATGAAAAAAGCATTTTCATAATATTCTACACTAATGTATTGTGAATAAATTCTGTTAAGTACAATCAAGAATTAGATCGAGTGTAATCCTCTCAAACTCTAATTGGA